CCTGTGGCCACCTACCCCTGCCCCATGTCCCTGTCCCAGCAGCCACCTACCCCTGCCCCGTGTCCCCGTGGCCACCTACCCCTGCCCCGTGTCCCTGTCCCAGCCCCGCTCCCCGCCTGCAGCCAGGGCACCTGGGGAAGGAACTGCCCGGGGAGTTGAACCATGAGAAAGCTGATCAAAACCAGTGGGTGCAGCCACTTCAGGTGAAGCGAGGTCTCTGTCTTCGGCCGATTATTTATTCCCCCTTCAGTACAGGACCCGTATGGCTCCAAACGCTCTGAAAGCCGTCATGTGTACGTTCTGCTGCATCTTCCCAAGTTAATTCTTCTTCCTGTTGTATGGTTATTGCTTCGCTTCTCTCGACAGCGCTGCATCGTGGTTTGAACTTACAGTTAATAGAGCCTCACAGGGACCCCTCAATAACCTTGAGCCCTGCGCAGCAGCCCAGAGAGACAGAAACGGGATTGGAACTGGGCAGATGGGCCCAAAGAGGGCAACTTGCAGGAGGGGAATTGCCAACGCTCGGCCAGCGCGACAAACCGCCTGGCAGGTCACGTACGGAGGGCCCAGCGCGACGACCACGGCTTACGCTTACGCCTGTTCTCCCCGTGCAAAGCTGAGCACTGGTACAGGCGCCCAGCACCACCCTCCCCTCTTTACTATCGCTTTTTGGGCCAACAATGCTCACAGCTGAAGGGACAGCAAGTCGAAATACAAATTCCTATTTGAAATTATTTAATTCCTGAAGAGACTCCCAATGCAGCGGCTGCAGTGCCCCCGAGTCCTAGGAGGCTTTCCCCAAAAGGGACGTGCGGCGGGAGATGGGCGGCTGCCGAGCTGGAGATGCTACAGTTCATCCACTCGCCGACACTCCGGGACTACAGGTATGGGACATGGACAGAAAAACGTACCAGAAGTAAATGGACATACTGTATTTATTGCACAAATTTCCCCTAAAACTGGGAATGGTTATTATAATACAAGTGCACATCTTGGGAAATATATACAAAACCAGGAGAGATAACAAGTATGTACATTTTACCCAGCATTTTACAAGTACCACCATCTAAATAATTTAGAGAAAGCAAAAAAATTGTCATAAAACATCTATAATAACTAATAAGGAAAACGTATGCGGGGTGTAAAATCCTTTCTTTTAAATACTTTTTGTTCTTAGCAGCCCAGTGTTTGCCAATTGCAACGAAAACAAATTTGCTAATTTGTGTGCCTAGTACACTTACTTTTCAGCCAGAAAATTAAGACATGTTAATGGAGATTGGTAGTAGTGGAAAAAAGAAATCAAACATTAGTTTTCTATTCACATAAACCAAGTCGCGATACACTTTTTTAAAAAAGTTGATGCTATAGTCCTGTAAAAAAATCCCTTCTTGTATTATTTAACAGATAGACGTACGTACCACGCTGTTCACGTACCCTAAAGTTAACGGACAGAGTCACTTCCCATCACAGGAGGGGCTGGGCCTGACTGAACGCATCATTAGGACGGCGTTCACGGGTGGCGCTAGGCAGGAGACGGCAGGGAAGGATGCCACCGAACAACCCCCTTTTTCTCCTTCTCGGGCTAATACTAAGTTCAAGCTGTGCAAGGGCCTTTCTCCAGAGTCAAACCCGTTTCAAAGCAACGCCCACTGATAATGGCTGAGTGGCGAGAGCAGAGCGCTCTCCCACAGGGACGCGTTGCAAGCGCAGCCCCGGGGGGCGCGGGGATCCCGGCGCCCCCCGGCCACTCGGGCAGGTCCCGCGGCTGAGCCCCCGTAAGGAGCCTCCCCGAGGCACGGGCAGGGGCGCATCCCCGGGGCTGCTCCGCCAGGGCCACAACGCCAGCAGCACCGGTGCCCCCAGGTCACAACTGCAAACCTGCGTACAATGTTCAGAACCGCAGCTATGGGCTACACCACGTACTGTAGCGAAGAGTTAAAAATTCATATTCCGAGCTCAATCCCATATTTCATTAATAACGTGTTTACACAACTGGGCCCCTACGTTTTGTGCTCATTCCAGAAGCCAGATGTAATGGAATTGCGTGGTGAAGGAAGGACGTTTGAAGAATAGGGGAGAAACACATCCTTGGATCAGGTCTCAAACACAGGTTTCCTCCCTGCAGCAGTCAGCGTCAGACCTTACATACAACAGAGTGTCAGGCGACCCTGCCTATATTAACGTTCGCTTTACCTACTAAGGTAGACTCAGTCCTACATGGAAAGGGGGGTGGGTTTGCCATGCAGATCTTCCCCGGAACAGAGTCGTGAGTTACAGATTCTAAATGCTAACAGAAAAAACACTGGGTGAAGCCCTGGCCCCAGCCAAGGAAGGGAGGAGAGTTTTGCCGTTGACAGCGGCGGGGCAGGGATCACTCCTATTGTTTTCAAGTTTATCAAATGGTTAAAATAGATTTGTATTTAAAATAACTCTGCCAACAACAATAGCAGGCATGCTGTACTGTCGAAAAGATGATTACAGAACGACGCATTCATGGAACTGTTCGTGGAGTTCAGCCACCGAGCAAACACACTCTCTCCTCCTCCTGGGGATCATCTACGAATTTCAATGAACTGAATGCGATCGGTGAAACCAGAACCTCAACATCAGCAACATTAATTGGCTGCTAGGACAAATACGCAAAGAAAAGCCTGTGATGAAGTGTCCAGTTAAACTGAGGTAGTAGAGCCTTTGAAAACAACATCCACCTCCCGCTGCGTATTTACATTACTTACACCAGGTTGGGTCCATCAGCTACTCGTACAACTACTGTATATACACTGACAAGACAGGGATGGCTGAGCAGAGGAGAAATGCTGAGAATCAAATAAACAACAGTTCCTGCTGGTAATTACACGTAGAAAAGGGATTAGAGTCATCTGCACCGAGGGTATATTTGTCCAAAAATAATTTTGGTATTACTCTACTATGGTGTAATCAAGATTCATTTTTTTGTAGAATGGTTTTACAAAATATTATCAATTAGTTACCTGAGCCATTAAGGGTAATCGTCTATTCGGTTCTTTTCCCCAATGCTTTGGTACAATTATTTCTAGTTCCTTATTTCAATAGCTGACTGCTGTAAAAAGAACAGGATGTTGCAAGAACATTATAGACCATAAAAAAGTTTGAGGTAATAGTCACGTCATTCCAGGGACCCCATGGGGAAACTTCAGCCAACGTTCTCTTTAGATTTTCTTTTGTGGTTTTTTTTTTTTTTTAAAACGTTTTGATTACGTTGAGGAAGAAAAGCATCACTTAGTATAAAGCAACATCTAAACATTATAAACATTTAATACTGGTTACAACATCTGGCCAAGAAAGAGAATCTCCATCGCTAGCTTGTCTGTTGGTCT